GGGGGGGGGGAATGGGTGGGTGGGTGGGTGCGTGTTTATGTGTGTGTATGCATGATTATGTGTGTGTGCATGTGTTTGTGTGTTTGCGCCCACATGTGTTTGTGTGTGTGTGTGTGTGTGTGTGTGTCTGTGTGTGCAGGGATGTGGAGCAACACACCTGCATCAAAATAAAATGTAAAAAAAAAAAACAAAAAAAAAAAAACACCTGTTTGATCATCTTTTTCTCGTTTTCTGTCTTTTTTTAGAGTTTTTTTTTTTTAAAGATATATTCAGAGTTCCGAAAATAAATTAAAATGATGGGGTTGTAGATCTCAAAAAGGTCTACAACCCTATTTATTTTTGGGTTTTTTTGCGTATTTTTCCCCACAAAAGAAATCTCTTAAAAAAAAAAAAACCCGCTCATTTCACCATTTTTTGGGTTAACTTTTTTTTCTTTTTTTTTCTTTTTGATTTTTTAAAAAATATATTTCAATTTCGAAAAACGAAATAAAAAATACGAGTTTGTAGATCTCAAAAGATCTACAGCCCTATATTTTTTGCCAAAAAACTTTGCAGTTGCCGTGAATCGCGATAAAGTGGCGGTTCAACGCCGTTTTACAGCTTTTTCAATGCGCGTCGAAAGATATCCATTTCCAGACACTCAGTTGACAGCCAGAGCAAAACAGAGTCTCATGCAAATTCGCAGCTCGGCTGTGAGCACACATTGCAACCGCTTTTAACAAACAGTCACATCTCATAAAAATGCAAACAAACATGACAGAAGAATGAATCTAGTCTGATGCTAGGCTACCAGAGTGGCCCAGGACGACTTGCCCGACCGGGCCAAAAAAGCATTAAATAATAATAATAATAATAATAATATAATACATTTTTTTCTTCTTCTTTTGAACGTGGGGTCTTGCTCTGCTCCCCCAGAGGAGGGAAGGGTTGGGGTTTGACAGGGGTCTAACCAGGTGAATTGCGACTGTTTTGCTGGTACGTCGAAGGTATATTGCAGGTGTGTATGTGAAAGAAGAAGACGAAGAAGGAGAGGATGGGTGGTGGAAGATGGCGGGCAGGGGGTAAGAAATGGTGGACGATAACTGACAACTTACTGATGGAGGCCATGGCAAGTGCACCGGAGGCGATGGCGGGCGCGCTGAAGGCGATGGTTCGCAGAGTAGGCAGGTGCGACAACCCGGCTGGGGCGATGGCACACGGGCTAGTAGCTGGAGGCGACGGCGTCATGATGCGGACGGTGGGAGGGCAAGCACAGGGGAGGGAGCTTTGGCTTTGGTCCAGTACACAACACTCTACATGCATGCACGCAGTGCAAGAAGCGTCCAAATGCATCTAGAGTATTGTGTAGTGGAGTGGGCTGCCTGGCCAGTTGTGCCGCCCAGTTGGCCACCGGGCATTCCCAGTGCATGACAGGTTTTTTTTTTTTTTGGGGGGGGGGCGGTTCGACGGCATGGCCCTTTTCGCCCCCCGAGGACATGTTGTAGGCCAAAAAGGAAACCGGGTCTGGTAGTTCCCGCCCTGAACGATTCAAAAGTGTGGGGCTATCTGGGGCGCCGATCTCTCGAGATCCGCAGTCCAGATCACCCGCAATTTTGAACCGTTCAGGGATGGCCTACTGGACCCGTTTTCCTTTCTGGCCTACAACACGTCCTGGGGGAGCGAAAAGGGCCCTGCCATCGAAAAAAGAACACCCCCCCACAAACCCCCCCACCTGTCATGCAATGGGATTGCCCGGTGGCCAACCGGGCGGCACAACCGGCCTGGCGCCCCCCCCCCCCCCTGGCCCCACGGCAACTTCCTGTCATACTCTTCCTTCCAACGCTAATAATGAGACAGCCGACAAATCATGAGCCTGCCCACAGTCTGCAACGAGCCACTGCGATTTGCTTTTCTTTTTTTTTCATTTTTTTTTTCTTCAAATTTTACAAACAACAACCTGAGTGGATGCTACCGCCTTCCCCCGAACATAACGCATATGCGTTTCGGAAAGTTAGACCCTTTTCTTCAAATAAAAGGCACTTCGAATATAACACATATGCGTTCTATTAGAATAATTCACATCTGCGTTCTATTCGAATAATACACATATGCGTTATATTTGAATTTCACGATGAGAAAACTGTTGTATTCGAATAT